TGAACGACGTGTTCATCTTGTAAAATCAATGACCTGTTCATTCAAAATGTGCAATGACAGGTTTGTTGATTCTATAAAAGTGCAAATACAATTTTTAAAGGAAGTGATTCTCACACACATTTTTTACTTTTTAGCCTCACATGATAATTTTTTTTCAAGTGTTCTGTATTTCAATCAGATTACTCCACGTGACATAAAAATAAGGAAGGGACACACAAAAAAAAAATTTATTTCCTCCACTTGTATTATGACATGTGGAGTACCGTTTGACAACTGGTAACTTGAAAAAATCCGTCTCACACACCCTTTTTATTTTTGGCCATCAAATTAAATAAATAAAAACATAATCAATGGTCATGATTAAGGGGTGGTTTGGGAGTGAGGTGCTTAAAAAAAAGGGTTTATTTTGGAAGCTGCTGTGAGAATAAGCTGAAATCAAAGGAAAAAGTTGAAGCTGCTATTTGCAGCTTTGGAAAACTTTGCTTTTTTCAAAAGCACACGGAGCTACAATGCTCCTTTAATGAAAAAGACCCACTATCAGACTGTTTTTTTTTTTTTTTTTTTCCAAAAAGCACTTTTACAAAAAAGTTTACCAAACATTCTGCTGATTTATTTTATAGCCGCTTATTTTCACAGCATAGCCGCTTATTCTCATAACAGTTTTTTTTCAAAGTACAGTAATACTAAACCAGCCCTAAATAGGCTGTATAAGAGGCTAAAAAATGTGTGTGAAAATTACTTTCCTAAACCGGTACTTGCTAAACTGTTTCACACACCCCGTTTCCCGATTCTGTTGAAACCGTAACCGTTAAACCGGTGTCACATTCTTGCTAAACTGTAACCCTATTTCGTCTCCATTTCAACCTCTCCGGTCCTTATCAGTCTTGCTGGTCAACCATTCTTTCTCTCTCCAAATCTCGGATTATTCAGTCCTGGGATTGTATTATCCGACTCTGTTCCTACTAGATTTTTTCTGCGCGGAATGCAATAAACAGATAGAAAGAAAAAGAAAACCAAAATAGTGATCCTGTATCGCCGGACCTTTCTTGCCGAGAAAGCCACAGCTTTCTCTTCAACGGAGATTTTGTAGAAGACAAGGCATTCCTCAAACTCAACAACTAATTACGATGGCGTTTGCATTGGAAGAACAGCAGTTGCAGAACTTAATCCACAGAGAGATCGAATTTGGGTTCGGGAAAGACGAAGATTTGGTGATTCCCACCTGGGTTTTGGACGCTCGATTGGAATCCATCACATGGGTTCTCCAGGTCAGTCTCTAATCTCAAAAACCCAGTTTCTTGTTTTCCAAGTTTCGATAACAAAAAGTTGTTTTGAATCGAAATTGATTGTGTTCTGTTATTGGTGTTTTTCTTGGGATTTCAGAGAAGAACGGGTCTTGGATTTCATCCTAGAGAACAGCATATTTGTGCATGACATACTTTGATCGGTTCATTTCCCTGAGACAAATCCCTGTAAGATTTTGTTGTTCGCCTTTTCGGGCTATGTCTAAACGATAATGCCAATGTGTAATGTAAAACTGTATTCCATTCGGTGTTTATGGCGATTGTGTAACGAGAATCAGTTCATGTTTTTGCAGGTTGCTATGGTTAGATTGCTTTCTGTGGCGTGTCTATCTCTGGCTGCAAAGATGAAGGAGCAGAAACATTCCATCACTGTCGCAATATGAAGTCGAAAATCCTCACTTTTTCGAAGGAAAACTGATTCAGAAAATGGAGCTTATGGTGTTGGGAGCACTGGAATGGAACATGAATATCATCACACCCTTCTCGTTTGTCGATTACTTCATCTCCAAGTTTGTGCCAAGAATCTCCATCTGATGTAAAATTAAAGATTTGAAGACCTCCTCCTTTCTGTGATCACAGGTACTTCTGTACCTATTTGATCACTTAATTAATTGTGAGTTGATTTAGATGGTTAGTTAATTCATGTTTTTAATGTTAATGTAGAGATTAATTTGATGCATCAACGACCGTCAGCTGTAGCAGCCGCCGCCACCTTGATGGCATTGGATCAGAAATTAACAAAAGAAGCATTGGAACTAAAGATAAACTCCATACCAGAACTGAAACTTTCGGAAATTGTGAGTTCATTTAGCTGTTTTCTCATTACTTAATTGATGTTTCATATGAAGTATTGGACTTATTGGCCTTTTGCGTCACAGGAAGCTGTGTTTTCATGCTACAATATATACTGCAGGAGCTAAGGACGGAGAAACCTAAAGAACCCGTGTCCGGTAAAAATCGATTGATCGCTGATGCTGTTTGATTCGAGCCCAGCGGATGGAACTTGTAGAGAATTTTTCAGTTAGATTAGATTACATCAGTAAAATTGTAACTGGTTTAAAGAGAGTGCATAGTTCTTACTTGTTCACAATGTCATGATTTGGAGGTGATGAGAAACAGCTTCCTGAAGAAAATTTACAGAAAGTAATAAAAGAGCAAAGCTTTTTGCCCTAGAATTTGTACCAGAATATTATTTGTTTTCATATTATGCAATGTCTGTGAGTATTTTGTACAAGGCAATCATCATTGAAGGGAAATTCAGACACACCTAGTAGAAATTAATACACACATTTCAAGTTTGTAAAGAGAAAAAGAGTTGTGTAAATGCCATGTAGACCGAAATTCGGAAACACCATTAGAGCATTTCCACTCATGGTCTAATGGATAGGGCAATTGGGTTGAATTGTCCTTAGCCCCAAAAAAATTGGTCCACCGGTTCAAAAAACGGAGGGCAATTAGGCCAAGGGCTTATACCCTTTCAACTGCCCTTGCAAGAATTGCCTTGGCTTGTGCCATTGCAGTACTGGGCCCACCCATATGCAAAATCTAGTCCCTTGGAGATCGTTGCCTTGTCTTTGCAGACTGTTGGATTTCCAACATTAAAAAAAAAAAAATTAAGGTTGTCCAACGTGGCACAATCTGGTGCATCTGATTTAAACAAAATTTAGTAAATCAACTGTCTGAATTAATTTGAAGATAAAAAAAGCTAAAAAACCACCAAAAAATTCTAAATAAGCACAAATGCTTTTTAACAATACACTTAAAATTAAAAACACTCCACAACCTTATAAAGTTCAACCATCTTCTTCATTTGCCTTTTATTTTTAATTATGCTTGTTGTAATACTATGTTTTGCTTTGTATTTAAAATTAAATTATCGGGGTTAAATATGAAGTTTTATTTTCTAAGAACAAATTTGCTAGTTACACACTTACAAGGCATAAAACATTAAAAAGAAATATTTGTGAATATTAATCGCCATTCCCTTGCCCTTTCTCTTCTCAAACCGATGGATCTGCACCAAGCCAATTACTATTATAAGAGCAATTTCATTGGCTTGCCATCACCTTGCCTTGCCCTTGCTCTCCTAGAACGATTGGAGTTGCTCTTATTATATGGGCATTTTCAGTGAATGTTGAAAACTTGAAGCCGGAGAATTTGACGGTTAATTTGAGATGTAGAAGCAAAATATGCTCTCGGAAAAACGATGCAGCATATAAGTATGAGAGATGCTAGGATCAATCGCACACGAACGTATGCCCAACCTAGCGTTCAAGCTTGTGGTACTCACAAAGCAGGAACAGATGAGTGAACAGACTACTCTGCTAAACCTGCAACCGTCAAAACTGTGTCACATCTCTGCATCCACTTTCACTATAAATATAATCAGTCGTATTCAGTCTTTGCTGGTCAACCATTTTCTCTCTCCAAATCTTTGGGTTCAGTACTGGGTTGGCTCACTGAGTTCATACTATTTGATTCCTTTTTTCTACTACATTTTCTGCACCTTTCTTGCCAAGAAAGAAACAACGGAGGTGATAACTACGATCCCTTCTCGCCAGACGTTTGTTGCCACGAACGTCTGACATTTTTGGACGGAGAGATGGCTGATGAAAACGCATTGATCAGCATGAACTACTGCTCCGATAGTGCACTGGAACAAGAGCAACTGAAGAACTTAATCAACAGAGAGATCGAATTCGGCTTCAAGAAAGATGAAAGTGTGATCATTCCCAGCTGGCTTTTGGAAGCTCGATCTGAATCCATCACATGGGTTCTCAAGGTTAGTCCCCGAACTCCAAAACCCCATTTCTTGTTTTCGAAATTTCGATGGTTAATTATAATTTATTAATTAACTCTAATCTTAATGTTTTACAGAGATTAACTTAATGCATCATCGACCGTCCGCCGTAGCAGCAGCCGCCACCTTAATGGCAGCGGATCAGAAATTATAAAGGAAGCAGTGGAAGTCATGATAAAATCGGTTCCTGACTTGAAATTTCTGGAAATTGTGAGTTTTCTTAATTGATCTCATTTGTTGATTAATCAATTAGATTAAAGACTGGATTTTGATTAATCTTGGACTCATTGGCCCTTGTGTTGCAGGAAGCTGTGTTTTTATGTTACAATCGGATGCAGGAGAAGGAGCTAAAGAGTCTGAAGGACCGATCGATCCCGATAAATGTTGCAGTTAGATCTTCAGTTCCAGCAGAGAAGCCTGTAAAAACCGATTGATCGCTGATTCCGTTTGATTCGAGCCCCGTGAATGGATGTTGTAGAGAATTCTTTGAGTTGCATTACATCAGAGAAGTGTGATTCTGTTCTGCTAAAGAAATTTCGATAGCAGAGTGGAATTACTTCGGTAATAGTAAATATCACATGTGACCAAATTAGGTAAAACTGTAATTGGCTTAAAGAGTAATTGGAGTAAATTCTTACATTAATATCTCTCTTATCACGTGACATAATTGGCTTAAAGAGTAATTGGAGTAAATTCTTACATTAATATCTCTCTTATCACGTGACACCTCCATTCATAACTTTGACTGATGTTTGGGTGAAAGCGAAGATACGAGAAGATTGCATGGCATATCATTTAATTTGTTTTCTCGACGAAAGAGATGGGAGTCGCATGACATGGTATATGCCCGGAAATTGCCATGGCCTACTATAGTACAAGCAGTCTCTTATGCAGCATGCATCAATCGGTGGTTTAATTATCGACAATAACACGAACAATTACAAGAGAAGGATCAACATTAAGGAAAGAACAGCACGATTAAGCAAAACAGTAAACCTGTTAGCATAAACTAAATCCTTGTAAAAGTACAACTGGTTAGACGTTCGAACAGGTAGAATACGTCCTACGCATTCATGTTTACCAAAACTATCATTTTGTAAGCGGGAGAGTTTATCATTTAGCCTTGAATTTGTGAGCTTTTCAGAGTTTACGGAGTCAAAAGAATGATATTTGAAATGATGCCATAACAAAACATCCATCGGTAGGCAAGTGGAGAAGTACCTGTTCAAGTTCCGGTTGATTTCAGTCTACTTGTTACACAGGGATGAATTTCAGAACTGCTGAAACCGGCATGCCAAGGAACCCAAGTGCAACGCTGGCAAACCATTGCTTCCAACTTAGAGGATGTGTGCTCGCAAATGTACCCAAGAACTCGATGATTATGATTTGAAAGATAACAGTGGCAGAGAGGACAGTCATGAAAACGTAGTTCTGCATTATGCCTTTGAAGACGTTAACCTTCTCCATTTCCCTCGAGCTGATCTCATTGAAAACCTGAAAGAAGACGGTAGCATTCAAATGAATGTATGTGGATGAGTTGTCATTTCCTGAATTTGAATTTTACTTTTTCCAATACTCCATTCATTAACAAACGCAATACGATTAAATCACATCCCTCGATGATTCATAATTACCTGACAAAACACAAATGAGTTGAAGATAAGGGTGGTCAAGATCAAATCCGAGTCTGGGCCAACGAGCTGAAAAGCTTCTTTTCCTCTGGTCTGTAGAAACCATATTATCACGAACTGATACAGAGACTGCCCTAGGATATTTCTCCACATCACATTAGTGATGAAGTTTCCTTTCCTGCCAACCGGTGCTCTCTTCATTAAATCGTCATTAGGTGGCTCGGTGGCGAATGCAAGGGCTCCTAGAGTGTCCATGATCATGTTGACCCAGAGAAGCTGAACAGCAGTAAGGGGAGTATTTCCTATGAGCGTTATCAACCCAAAACAAAAAGTTAGCCAATAAAATATTTTCATGAGAAACTTAAACAAGAGAGAAAATGCATCGCAGTCTGCTTACCAGTTAAACAGGCGGAAGAGAAGCTGACAATAAGCGCAACCACATTAACTGTTAACTGGAACTGAACAAATTTCTGGATGTTCAAGTACACTGAACGTCCCCATTTGGCCACAGTCACAATTGTAGAAAAGTTATCATCCAGAATTATCACGTCAGCACTTTTCTTTGCCACCTGATATAATTAGCACATTCTTAATTACCTTAATATCAAAAACGATCAAGCTCACCTAAAAATAAAGGATCAGGGGATTCACGAACAAGAAGAAGAGAGTAAATGAGACGTCCTTGGGCAAAGGATTCACTTATTTCTTGTATTATCCATATGTAACCTCATAAAATTTAATCTTACCACCACCACTTTGCAACCCTTGTGCATTCTTCTGATATCTCAATTTAGTAATAAGATCATGCAACTCTAATTGTACAACTGTAGTTTCCAATCAAATTCTACCGGAATTGAATGTTTGTAACGCAACAAAATAGGTTTACAGGCATGAGAGAGAAAATAGTGATTGAACTTTTCTCTAGAAACAACTACCTAAGAAGTAAAAACGTTGCTTCTTTTAGCATATTATATTTATAAAACAGGAAAATCAACTGTCGACATGTGCGACTCTACGATTTGAGAGAGCGAGAGGAGGCTTTTATTAAGACACAAAAAGAAGCAACATCTTTGTAAATACCTCAGTACCAGCAGTGCCCATTGCAAGTCCTATATCAGCTTCATGAAGTGCTGGAGCATCGTTTGTACCATCACCAGTCACAGCAACAACTTCTTGAAAAGTGGTCCTTAAGTGTCTTACAAGGGTATGCTTATCCATTGGTGAAGAACGAGCCATAACCTGATCATAGCATCAAATTGCATCATTAGAAAAGTCACTTGAAGTGGAAGGGAACAGCAAAATTAGACAAGAAAATTGTTCTATTATTTATGGTTAAAGGTGCACGTCACCCGTAAGTGAAGAAATAATTTATTTATCGTTGATATGGTTAGAGCTATTGTCACTGTTAGTATGTCTACCATAATTAGCTGTGCAATAATGGTAACGGGGGAATAAGGAATTTCAATAGGTTTAACAGTCTACTAGTCTAGGGATTTGTTAAGTAAAATACATTTAATTAAATGTTTCTGAGACAGCTCACTGGCGGGATTGTGAAATTTTGATAACATGTTTCTGACTAGTGTCTTTTCAGAAAATAAGAAACTGTACCTGAAGGTTTGGAATAATTTTTTGTAATTCCTCCTCACTCTTCTCACGAAACACTGGGCCTTCAATTGCCAAACCTCCATCGGTCAAAATTCCACACTCTCTTGCAATTGCTTTTGCAGTGTTTATGTCGTCTCCAGTAATCATTCTGACTGTAATACCAGCAGACCTACAAATTGCAACAGACTCCTTGACACCAGGACGAACTGGATCTTTGATACCCACAATGCCTATAAATGTGTACCCTGAGGTGGGAATAGGACTTTCAGCTGAGAATTTGCCGACCTCCATGTATGCAAGGCAGAGAGTTCTAAGGGCTTCACTAGCAAAACGTTCAATGATGCCATTCAAAAAATTAATGGATGCTTTATCGAGGGGAACAACCTTGCCATCTGGACACATGATTTTGTCGCATGCAGCTAATATTATCTCAGAAGCACCTTTAGTGTGCACCCGGAAGCCACCTTTAGGAAGCTCTACAACAACACCCATTCGCTTTTCATGAGAATTGAAGGGCTCAACTTTAACAACTTTTGTTGCCTCCCTTTCTGCCTTGAAATCACCGCCTAGCAACATCCCAAATTCCAAAATAGCAGTCTCAGTGGGTGTTCCAAGTAACTCGGTCTTGCCATCTTTGTTTTTAACAACTTCTCCTCCAGTGTTGTTAAAAATAGATTGCAGCATAAGCCTCAAACCAGATTCAGGAAATTCCTCGGAGGTTCCCACATCTCTGATTTTACCACAAAAGATGCTCAAAAAAGATTGCAGCGCAAGCCTCCAACCAGATTCAGGAACTATAGAAGCAAAGTTAGTAGCTTCCTCGGAGGTTCCCACATCTCTGATTTTACCATAAATGCAAGCTTTCACAACAGTCATGTGGCTCGTCGTTAGTGTCCCGGTCTTGTCACTGCAGATAGTTGTGGCTGATCCCATGTCTCACAAGCAGCCAGATGCCTGACTAGTGCCTTATCGTTCATCATCTTCTTCATGGCAAAAGCAAGACTCAATGTCACAGCCAAAGGCAAACCCTCTGGAACAGCAACAACAACAATTGTAACAGCTATAGAAAAATATTCCAAGATTTCCAATGCTTCATCTCCAGACCAGATCAAGTGGGATCCTTGTTGAAGATTGCGGCTGAACAATCCTTGAACCAATACAGAAAATGTCACAACAGCAAAAAACAGGCCTATTTTCCCAATGATGGTTGCCACACCATTTAGTTTGACCTGCAAGGGGGTTTCATCATCTCCCCCTTCACTAAGAGTAACCATCAGTTTACCCCACTGGGTTCTCATTCCAACAGTAGTTACAAGCATCTTGCATGATCCATCCTGAACTTTAGTTCCACAGAGGAGAAAAGGATTCGTAGAGTTGACCTTAACTGGTTCACTCTCTCCTGTTAAACTGGATTCATTTATCAGCACAGGAAACTCCGAAACAAAAAGTCCATCAGCTGGGACCACATCTCCAATAGAAAGATGAACAATGTCACCAGGAAGTAGATCGTAAATGGACAACTTCTGTCTGAATCCATCTCTAGTAACCTGAACTGTAATTTTTTTCTTCTCCTTCTCCAAATCCTTGAACTGCAGGGATTGTTTATAATCACTAGTTGCAGTGACAAATACAACAAGCAAAATGCTAGCAACAATTCCAAGTCCATCATGGGCACCCTTTGGCCAACCTTCTGTCATTATCCCAACCAGCAGAGATACAAAGGCACAAAATGCAAGTATCATGAGGGTAGTGTCCTGAAGGGCTTCCCACACATAAACAAGAAATCCACTGCATGGTTTTTCAACGAATTTATTAACCCCATATATTTCTTTTCTCTTATTAAGCAATTTCTCAGAAGTAGAAATTCCATTGATACTGGATGTTCCAAGCTTGTCTATGATAGTCTCCACACCACCATGACTTTTCAAGTATTGCACATCACGGCCTTCAACAATCCATTGCACCTCATCAGCACAAATTTGAAAACCCGCAGCTTTGACTTCCTCAGGTACTGTATAATCACTGTGCACACTTAAGCCTGCACACGCTGAAGATTGAAAACCAAATAAACATATAAAACAAATAGAACCATTGTTTGTAAAATATAATAAATATCGTCTGTATAAACAACATGGAACTGAGTAGGTTAAGATTCTAACCTTGGATAAACTGAAGCGTTTGTGAAACCAAATCTGCAACTCTAAACTTACCCTGTTATTTCAACCGAAGAACAAAGGACAACACACTAAGAAATAAAGTTTTCTTTTATAAGACAGCAAAAGATATATTTTCTACATGAAGTATGCACATGAATATATTTTTTACCAGTTACTACCCCTATTAAGTATAAATATATCTGCTCAATTTCTTTTTATGGTAGACGGTATACCTTAATTTCATAGTCTATCAAACAGAAACTATGGTTCACTGCAGAATTGAACTTATCCTCATTTATGTAGCATAAGGTCATTTAAAGCTGTGAGTTTGCTTAAAATTTTTACCGTGCAATGCATCAATTTTTAAGTCCTCTTACAGATTATCAGAATATAACAGTTGATATACCATCAACCAAATCTAGTACAATATGTACTTGGTCAAGGTTTTCGTTTTGACATTCAGCAAGATGAAATGGATCTGGGAACAGCACTGATAATTCAGCATGCAACAGAAACACACAACCCCAAATTACGAACAACAGCGAGTCTACTTTTTCCCTTCTTAGCTAGGCTATCATCGAATTTCGATTGAGAGATGATCTTCCCAACTTTCTATATACAAATCTTTGATTTTGTTAGAAAACGAACGCTAATAAATTAGAAATCCAGATTAACGAACACTAATCAATTAGAAATCCAGATTAACGAACACTAATCAATTAGAAATCCAACTGAAATGTAAATCTATCAGCACGCAGAAAAAGAACATTAATCAATTAGAAATCCAGATTAATTGTAGCATTGGGGTCACACTCAACTTATCAACAAAAAGAACTAAATAATTCCAAAAATTTTCTCAGGAGCCAAACAGAACAAAAAAAGAGAGAGAAACCAAAAGAGTAACCGATTTATACCTGATTGGTTCGTCGAATGGCCTCAGCTTCAAAACGCTTGGGGAGGTTAGCAGTGAATCTGAACCTCCGTTTCCGATTCTTGACAAGTCCACACGGCTTCCTCCATATCTGAAACGCCTCCTCCGACGAGTTCTTCGCCTTCACATAAAAGTTCTCGTTCAAATAGCTCTCCATCTCAGCTTCTCAGCTTCACAGCAAACCAGAAACCCTAGCCTTATACACAGAGACGAGTTCTTCGCCTTCACATAAAAGTTCTCGCTGCAGCCATAGCGGAATCTCACAGAGAATTGAAGAGAAAAGTAGGACAAGACCTGCTTGGCAAGAGAGAAAGTGCAAGAAAATCAAGAATGCAGAAGCGGGAGATCAGCGTCAGTGGACTCCGGCGATGATCCCATGTAGAAAGTAGAATCTCTGTGAGTAAGGAATTAGAGTTTTGGAGAGAGAGAGAGAGGAAAATGGAGAGAGAGAATTGCGTAATTATATTTTCGTACATTGAGATACGGTGTGCATTGAGTATTTAACTGAAGTTAACTGATTATGCTGACTCAACAATTTCTTAACTAACGTCTGGACTGAGGTACTAATCTGGTGCTTTACATCTTTGATAAGATTGTGAACCTTCATTGCTCCTAACAGTGGGTAAAAATATTAAATTAAAATGTCTTTGCCGCGTGGTGTCAGAGTCACCGCGTTTAGGAAACGGAGAGAGCGATCAATTTGGGAAATTCCAAAAATTTAATATACAACGTATTTTTATTGTGTAAATTAAATAATCGTCAAATTGATACCGTTAGTAGATTATTTAAGTTTTATATCATTAAACCATCTTCAAAATCGAAATGTCAAAGCTGATATGAAAAAGAATACTAAACTAACATGAACAAGATGATGTCAAAATTGACGCCATGTCAAATGAGGTTTTTGCTATTTCCAAAGATACTTAACTTGTCTTAGGCCATCTCCAACCGAGGGCTAGCCAGATGGCTCGTTTTAACCATCTGGCCCTCCAAGATATTAATATTTTAATGAACAGTATAAGACCATATTTGTCTTCATTTCCAACCAAGGGCCAAAGGGACAAACATAATTTATTATTTAAATTTAAAAACTACAACAACTTAAATTCAAATCCAACAACTTAAATTTAAAAACTACAACTTATATTTAAAAACTACAACTTAAATTTAAAAACTACAAATTAAATTTAAAAACAACATTAACTTGAATTTAAAAACTACAACAACGTAAATTTAATATCCATAATCAACATCATCTTCATCATCCGCCATTGTAGGAGTATAGTCAGAGGTAAACAACTGCCGCCGGGTCATAATTTCATTTTTTTTCCTATCAAAATAGGCCTTACTCATTGGAGTGTAATTCGAAATGTTCCTTTCCATATTCTTATCATCTATCTCTTCTTGTACTTGTTTGACCCGGTTCTTCATGCCTACTTTTCCTTTCTTCCGCCTCAAGGGCATTTTGCTTTGCCATTAATCGCAATGAGGCCGCCACTTCATGTTGAGCGGCATAATCATCATTTGCCTTGCCCTTTTCCTTCAACCTTCACGCCTTGTTTCGTCTCATAGCCCTAGGTATGTAACCTTCATCCAAAGACGGATTTTCTACCCTTGTTTGTTGAATGGTTAGAGATCCATCTTGATCCATATATGCAGCTGAGGATGCTATTCCGAACATCGGCGTAGAAGCTCTATGTGGTGGATCTTCAAATAACACCCACCCTTTACAAATTTCCTAACAACTGTGAATTTGAAAGGGTTTCGAGCTACTCTCCATATATAATTCCTTCGTTTGGTGTACCGAGAAAAAAATTAAAGAAAATTAATTTATGAAATTAAATGTAATATAATTAAATATTTAAAATAAATTGTGAAAACACTTACTTCATCGTAGTAATTAGCGCCGCTTTCATGTCTACTTGCGGGCGGCTGCTAACAATACTTGATGCCATTTGTTCAAACTTGGCTGAAGATGTTTATTCCATCTTGAAGAACAACTCTCGTGGTTTCGAATATTTACTGGAGTGGTGCCTTCATAGAACTCCAAGTACTTTTTGGACACACGAGTCCAAACACCGTCATTTGTTTGACAATTCCCCCTCCCACTATCTTCCAACATTCATCTATAAGCCTTGCAAAGAGCTTCATCTTCTTTTCAGGTTCAAGCCCTACATTTTATTGCAGACAAGGCCATTTGAAAATTATTGAAAAAATTGAAGGATAGATTTTTTAAAGAGGAAAGAAAATATGAGAATTGAAATGGTGTAGGAATGGTGAAAATTCTGTTAAAACGGTGTCACATCTCTGCATCCACTTTCACTATAAATATATACAGTCGTATTCAGTCTTTGCTGGTCAACCATTTTCTCTCTCAAATCTTTGGCTTCAGTACTAGGTTGGCTCACTGAGTTCATACTATTTGATTCCTTTTTTTCTACAACATTTTCTGGACCTTTCTTGCCAAGAAAGAAACAACGGAGGTCGACGGTTGTGATAACTACGATCCTTTCTCGCCCGACGTTTCTTGCCACGAAAGTCTGACATTTTTGGACGGAGAGATGGCAGATGAAAACGCATTGATCAGCACGAACTACTGCTCCGATAGTGCACTGGAACAAGAGCAACTGAAGAACTTAATCAACAGAGAGATCAAATTCGACTTCAAGAAAGATGAAAATGTGATCATTCCCAGCTGGGTTTTGGAAGCTCGTTGGGTTCTCAAGGTCAGTCTCCGAACTCCAAAACCCCATTTCTTGTTTTCGAAATTTCGATCATTTGAACCAACATTTGTGAAGTTTCAATTGGGAACTTAATCGGGTGTTCTTGAAATTCAGAGAAGTGCAGAACTTGGGTTTCAGCCCTTGACAGCATATCTGGCCATTACATATTTCGATCGATTCTATTCGCTGAGTTCCGACCCTGTAGGTTTTAAAGATTATATTTTTATGGTTTTTTCTTCTTCTTTTCTGCAGAAAGAAGAGCCAAAATCTGCAAAGAGGTTGCTTTCGGTGGTGTGCCTGTCGTTGGAGGCAAAGATGGAGGAGTTGGACGTGAAACTTCCACCACTGTCACAATACGCGGTCGGAGATTACTCATTTCCATGTCATTTCGTCGGGACGACGGAGTTGGCGTTTCTCGAACACTTAGATTGGAGGCTGAGTTTGATCACACCCTTTGCGTTTCTCGGTTACTTGATCTCCAAGTTATGCCAGGGACCTGCATCAGATGTGAAATCTCGGATTGAAGGACACCTCCTTTCTGGAATGACAGGTATTTCTGTTAATTTTCACGAACAATGTTTTATGTTTGATCAATCACTTAATATTTTTTCTTTTTTTTTGTTGTTGGTTGATTTAGATGGTTAATTATAATTTATTAATTAACTCTAATCTTAATGTTTTACAGAGATTAACTTAATGCATCATCGACCGTCCGCCGTAGCAACAGCCGCCACCTTAATGGCAGTGGATCAGAAGTTAACAAAGGAGGCAGTCGAAGTCATGATAAAATCGGTTCCTGACTTGAATTTTCTGGAAATTGTGAGTTTTCTTAATTGATCTCATTAGTTGATTAATCAAGTAGATTAAAGACTGGATTTTGATTAATCTTGGACTCATTGGCCTTTGTGTTGCAGGAAGCTGTGTTTTTATGCTACAATCGGATGCAGGAGAAGGAGCTAAAGAGTTTGAAGGACCGATCGATCCTGGTAAATGTTGCAGTTAGTTCTTCAGTTCCTGCAGAGAAGTCCGTAAAAACCAATTGATCGCTGATTCCGTTTGATTCGAGCCCCGTGGATGGATGTTGTAGAGAATTCTTTGAGTTGCATTACATCAGAGAAGTGTGATTCTGTTCTGCTAAAGAAATTTCGATAGCGGAGTGGAATTACTTCGGTCGGTAATAGTAAATATCACATGTGACCAAATTAGGTAAAACTGAAATTGGCTTAAAGAGTGTAATTGACGTAAATTCTTACGTTAGTATCTCCCTCATCACGTGACATCTCCATTCATAACTTTGACTGATGTTCGGGTGAAAGCGAAGATACGAGAAGATTGCATGGCATATCATGTAGTTTGTTTTCTCGACGAAAGAGATGAAGTCAGCATGCCATGGTAAATTTTACGGCAAAATTTCCGGTATATGCCTGGAAATTGCCATGGCCAACTATAGTACAAGCAGTCTCTTATGCAGCATGCATCAATCAGTGGTTTAATTATCGACAATAAAACGAGCAATTACAAGAGAAGGATCAAAAGAATGATCTTGGAAATGATGCCATAACAAAACATCCATCGGTAGGCAAGTGGAGAAGTACCTGTTCAAGTTCCGGTTGATTTCAGTCTACTTGTTACACAGGGATGAATTTCAGAACTGCTGAAACCGGCATGCCAAGGAACCCAAGTGCAACGCTGGCAAACCATTGTTTCCAACTTAGAGGATGTGTGTTCGCAAATGTACCCAAGAACTCGATGATTATGATCTGAAAGATAACAGTGGCAGAGAGGACAGTCACGAAAACATAGTTCTGCATTATGCCCTTGAAGACGTTAACCTTCTCCATTTCCCTCGAGCTGATCTCATTGAAAACCTGAAAGAAGACGGTAGCATTCAAATGAATGTATCTGGATGAGTAGTCATTTCCTGAATTTGAATTTTACTTTTTCCAATACTCCATTCATTAACAAACGCAATACGATTAAATCACATCCCTCGATGATTCATAATTACCTGACAAAACACAAATGAGTTGAAGATAAGGGTGGTCAAGATCAAATCCGAGTCTGGGCCAATGAGCTGAAAAGCTTCTTTTCCTCTGGTCTGTAGAAACCATATTATCACAAACTGATACAGAGACTGCCCTAGGATATTTCTCCACATCACATTAGTGATGAAGTTTCCTTTCCTGCCAACCGGTGCTCTCTTCATTAAATCGTCATTAGGTGGCTCGGTGGCGAATGCAAGGGCTCCTAGAGTGTCCATGATCATGTTGACCCAGAGAAGCTGAACAGCAGTAAGGGGAGTATTTCCTAGGAGCGTTATCAACCCAAAACAAAAAGTTAGCCAATAAAATATTTTCATGAGAAACAAAAACAAGAAACTTAAACAAGAGAGAAAATGCATCGCAGTCTGCTTACCAGTTAAACAGGCGGAAGAGAAGCTGACAATAAGCGCAACCACATTAACCGTTAACTGGAACTGAACAAATTTCTGGATGTTTAAGTACACTGAACGTCCCCATTTGGCCACAGTCACAATTGTAGAAAAGTTATCATCCAGAATTATCACGTCAGCACTTTTCTTTGCCACCTGATATAATTAGCACATTCTTAATTACCTTAATATCAAAAACGATCAAGCTCACCTAAAAATAAAGGATCAGGGGATTCACGAACAAGAAGAAGAGAGTAAATGAGACGTCCTTGGGCAAAGCATTCACTTATTTCTTGTATTATCCA